TTTTTAGCTGTTCTCGGATAATCATCAACTAAAAATGTATCCCTTATTGCTATAATATTATTTTCTATCAAACCCATATGATAATTACCCTTGAGTCAATCTTGCTCATTAGCACGTTAGTATCGTACTCCAAGTACACAAAATCTAAAAGGACAACCTTAGTTTTGTAAATAAGGTTGGAAAACATGTTATGTATAAAGCCAGCATGCTCTGGCTAGCTATATACTTCTTTGCAAAACTCTTCTCCTCGTCTGGTAACCTTTCATAACTATGCCTCCGGTTAGTTAAGAACAAGAAATTATCTAATCCATCCTTATCATTTTGCTAAAGTGCAAAATGATCATTCAATGACATTTTTTGTGTAAAGGTTACCTCAATGAAATAGTCCTCCATTCTTGACAATAAATTATTAGCCAAAATGGGAAGCAAACAAAATCCTATAGAAAGTCCATGCCTCTGTTATTAAAACCTATTCGCAAAGGTGAAGTATGTGTCATTCATGGATAAATTAAATAAACAAAAGATTGAATTTTTTATATGTTCTGCCTCACTTTAATCCAGGTGCATTTTAGGCTTAATGCTAGCGTTTGAAAAGTTCCCTAAACTTGAATTTTTGTCAAAAATTTAGCGCCACCTGGAGACTCACTGAAAGCTGCTACATTTCAGTATTTAGCTAATGTATCAAGGCCTATAAATTAAGCATAAGTTGTTCATACTTTATTTTATATGTTCTACGAATTGCCTAATATTTTGATTTAAATGGTCTCGCTACTTTTGCGCTTAGCAACAGCGTACCATAACCCACTCGTCAAAACGACAAGTTTTAGACCATGCCATCTCATGTACTGTTTCTGTCGTGTCTTCCGCAACCTTTGATCTTTGATTTCATCGGCCTCTACGGAAACATTTGCGCTCAGCCACCCTTTGATGAATTTGACGACATGTCGCTTCAACACAAAAACATTATTTTTTAGTAGCCTAATCTGGATAATTGGTCAAGTTTCATTCTTAACGTGAGTAGTAGTGAAGAAAATCCGTAGTATTTCTCATTTTCCCACTAGTTTGTTCAACTTTTCGTACTAAGGCATTAAAAACAGTCACTTCTCAAATTGTATTCATCCAAAATTGTATACCGTATACATTTGACGGCATTTTCAGTTAGGCCTAGAGGATAATTGTTCTCGAGTAATATTCGTTTAAGCTTAGTTGGCTAATTATCTGAATAGCCTCTATCCCCTAATATTATACTCGTAATATTAATTTATTTAAAAATGTATACCTTTATTTTATAACAGTGATTTAAGAAAAAGTTATGGTTAAAGCTGGTTTCCTATACACTTACCAGCCCAGCTTAGTCGTGCAATAGAACCAAAAAGTATTAACTACAATCAGTTTCTATTTCCAAAGTGAACTTTATTATATTATCCCAATGATTAAAATATAACATGAAATTATTTAAAACATTCTAGGCATGTTGTCATATAGCAAAATATGTATCCAAATATCTGCCTTAAAGTTTTTGATGCCAATCTTGCATATTCCTCCATCTTGTACGCATATTAGCCAAAACGGAGGTTAACAAGACCTCAATTTAAGGAGAGATGACACGACCATTCAGTAGAAGGTTGATAGGGGATGGACTTCACTTGTCCCTTTAACGAGCTGCAAATTGGTACTAAGGATGACGCTTCACACTGACAAAGCAAACTGCGTCTGGGAATGTACCAAGTCAAGTGTCTCGGCAATTCAAGTCTGTTAGACGCAGACCTTTCTTCATCGACTATATCATAAAATCAATTTTAGCCCCAAAATAATGATTAAGAGACAATAAGAAAAATCACGAAAGAACAATTGTTAAAATACCTGTTAAGCAGCAAGTTGACCTCTTCTGTCGCTTTCACAACACGTGGCTCGGTTACGAGGCCGGTCATCATGCCAAGAAGATGTCCTCAACTATAGCAATTCATTGACCCGATGCTGAAACTCATCATAACAGAACTGGTAGAGAAAGCCGGACAAGATACATTGATTAGTCGCCCTGACAACGTGACCACTTGTTCTGATTACAACCCTCCTGGCCTTATCATTCATTCTAACACTTAAGCACGACCTAACCAAAGGATTACACCTTACTTAATTCGTATGGATTCTCTAACGCATTTGATAATCCATTATTCATTTTCTTTCGTTCGAAACAGATTGATTTCAACTTTTTGCTTAGTACTAGTCTCAATGGCGTCCCTTCTTTGTGTATCTTGAGCCGTCAGAATGATGTAAGCGGCTTGCATCGTTCTGTAAGTGAATTCATTGTAAATTCCACGTCTCCTATGCATATTTATTGCCTCGGCACATCTTGAGACACTCGATAGGCTCATTTATTCTAAAACTTGTTCACTGCCTTCTCCCTATATTGCATAATCTTATTAGTGGTTTCGCAAGCCCTTATCTCAATTGTAAACTAATTACTTAATTTCATTATTTAAGCACTTCTAATAACCAAGGGTTCTGGGATAATTTCTAACGCCGGTACCCTTCTGGAAACCACATGAAGGCACCTATGACCGTAGATATGAAGACCAAGATAGTGTTGCCTTCTGTTTGGTCGAAATACCCTTTAGCTTCACAGTATTGGTTAGACCTAATTCCTTGATGAAATTTTTTTATATCAAAAGATTAAAATTTAATCCATCCTTAAGAAGCATCATGGCTTGATAATTGAGGAAGCGGAGACAAAAACACCATTTTGACCTTATCTCCTAGTTGATCTTTGGCATTTGTCAGTCTGATTTTGTTAGGGATGATTTGACCCTGGGCTTATTACCATAATTAAGTCATCCATAATGCTGCATTTAAACTATCAAGTCTAAGCTCATTGATGAACCCAGGCCCCTTTGTCCATTTAAGGTTTTGATTAGGGACACTACGGGATAAACTGTACAATAGTTCGAATAGAAAATTAAATTTCTTTTAAATCTACCTTCTTTGCAAGAGCACTCCGCAGCTCAGAGATGTTAAAATTAATACTGGTACAAAGAGTTAGCACGGAAAGGTAGAGCGAGACTTAGAGACAAATTAAGCCTTCCTTCAAATAATTCTAGTAGAATGATGATTCAACTAGATGAATGTTTATTTATCCTGGTTATACGAATAAGGTGTTAAATACTTAGGCGGTTGAGAAATGCGGTTCACAGTAAAGGTTATTAAAAACCAAATCTAAGGAAACAGTTAATTAAAATTAGCAAGAATCTATCCATACTGCTGAGTGTCGTCGATGTCTCCAAGGTAAATACGTTAGGCTTAAGATTAGACAAAGCAATGATAAATCCAAACATCAGTAACAACCTAACAAAATAGTCGAACCAGGTCTGATTCGAGTGTAGTTATAACTATTTAATAACTCAAAACAGAACTGGTTGGCTGTAAGACTATTGATTCCTCATAGGCAAAGTCAAGATGCAGATGGGGGAAAGTAGTCGTTCCTATCATTTGTTATTTAAAACTGAGCAATAAAATATGTATGTATACGACTAACTGGTTAGTTCAGAATTGCAATAAATTTACTGTTAACATTGCTTACAAGTTTAGCCTCGGCTCAGATTTCGCTACCTATGCCTATATGGACTCTGGATATCATAATTGACATCAGCTAGAAAATAACAACTCGTCCTCTAGATAATGGAAGAAAAAAGGTTTGCCAGTCATGATTAATATTTTTATGCTAGACAGGCTCATAAATGAATTTATAAAAATGAACTTGTGACAAGCTCAGGCAAAAATAAGGAAAAAAATTTTGAGAATAGTTCTCTTTACTACGATTTATAATAAATCTACTATTAAATAAAAAGAACGAAGACTCTGACTCTGTACGAGAGGGAAGATGAGGGAGTCAGGTTTTATTTACAAGAAGTTCAGATCAATAAAAAGCAAGCATAATTAGAGTCAATTAAAATGGGCTCAGACGAAAGAAAATGCTAGCCGGATATAATATATTGAAAAAGCAAGATATAAGATGAAATTAGAACCCATGTGTTCACACATGTGTGTGTGTGGATAAATGGAAGAGGTTGAAGTAAATGGGCCGGATTTCCACAAGGCGAAGTCTGAAGAGAGAAAATATGAACATAAAAATGTATTAAAGTATAGGAAAGAAACTAGGGCCAAATGATTTAAAATGAGGTCTATAGAATCGTAATGCCAAATCGAGAGCAAATAAAAAATTACAATAGTAGCCTAAATTTATGCTTGCTTTATGCCTTAAAAAGCATGCTAGAAAATAGGAGCCTAGTATCAAGGACTTATGTAAGTCTTGAGTTGTTGGATATTTGCTTAATATCCTATGTTCTGATTAAAAATAAGAACTTTGAAGGAGGACAATTTACAGAAGAAATATATCTAAGTAAGGGTCAGGAAATACCATGAGCAAACGCAAAAACTATGAGAGTAAATCGAAAATAGACGTTTAAAGTGGTTGACAGAAGAATAATCTGGATGGTCCGCTAGAATGATAGTTCAGAAAAACTAAAAAAGAACATAATGGATTGACGACAAGGAGACAAAAGTATATGGATATTGAGTAAACAAGGCAAAAAATGCTTTAAAGCAAAGATACATCACAAAGGTGGCAAATATATAAAGACAAATGTCGAGGATATTGAGCTATATGAATGAATGAAAAAATATTTAGCATATATATATGAATATAAGAAAAATGGCCAAAGTAAGTGGAAAAAATGCAGCAGCATGAATGAATAATAGATGCACTGAGAATCCAAAACTGAAGATAATTAAACATACCAGTCTGAGACTAAAATGTACTGGAATAGGATAGGGGGACAAAAAACATGCCCATCATTGAAAGATTAAAGAATAAATTTAGGCAAGTCCCAGAATTTAATATTTGTCTAGATGAAATGAGAAGATGCTCATATCATTCGAAGGCAATTGCCTAGAAGATATGGCATTATAAGTGGGAATTGAGGCAGAAAATAATAGCATATCGACTAGACTGCTTCAGCATCAAGCACTTTTGGGGGCGTTGGTTTACTTAAGGATGATGTGATTGCTGTGGCTGCAACTGCGTCGATGAGAGGGTCGGAGGAAAACTCAAGTCTCTCATCACGATTATAGACAGATGGGGCTAAATCAGTGAAAGGCAGTTGCACTAGTACGCAAAGTGAGGAAGTTTGTTCACTGCAAAAAAACGAATAAAAGAGAGAAAAATATTAATGAAAATAAACGAAAAGAGCTATTAAAGAATTTGATTGGTCTTCGAAATCGACAATGAGGGCGCTGTACTATGGTGCTACGAATGACGAGACTCACTGACGATGCTGACTACGATGCAGGCGAAACGTCGGTGATAGTACCACGTCCACGATCCAACTTTGGAAATAATCCTGCATACAATGACTCCGGACTCGGTACATTTCTCTAAGTCTTCCTACCAATGTAACCAAGTGGCGAAAACAAGGTCAAACAACTTCCATACAACGAAAGGAGACTGCGACCACACAAAAAGCCACACCATCTTGGTCTTCATATCTTCGATTAACCGTATTTACCCTATTTCACAATAGGAGGATGCAAAGAGTAACGTGAGTTGTGATACTCATAAGGGCGTATCTAGTTGAAAACACTAACAGTCGAAGTATCATAGAATAAAATTAGTATAAAGTAGTATTTTATAGTTGATCCATCATAAAATACTTAAAAAATGCAAATATCATACGTTTTTAAGTGTAAGCAAAAATTAGATTAAAAACAATTTTAAAAATGAATTGTGTCTGAAATAAATTTAGCTCAACCCATAGGAAAGAGTTCAAATGAGTAACTAAATAAATCTGTTATATATGAAAGGTATTTAATTGACTTTATCTCTCTAAGAGCAGAACTTAATATAGATATGTGACTGATATGATAATCTTAAGTCCTTTAACCCGATAGAATATAGTTTAAGTCAGTGATGTGAATAATATCGAGACAAACTTTACCGATTACTAGGCCAATTAATATAGGCACTTTTGAATAAGCTAGTCACATGTAAGAATACGACTGTCACCCTAAATTTTCCTCCAATTTATAGTAAATAATGGTTTTTTATAAATAAATCCAAGAGAATAACTAAACGATACTTATATGAAAGCCTCATGGTAGTACCATCATACTCCATCTTGTTGAAAAGACAAAATGACGATATTTTACCTTTAAGCTATAACAATAATAGACTTGGTCCCTTCGCCATCAGGAATCGCCTCTTCATCTTTCTTATCTTCGCCATCATCATCGTCTTCGTCTTCTTCGTCATCCGTGGTCACATAACCATTAGAAACAATAAGGGGGTAGTGGGCATCCGGAGTCAGGCAGGCGCGCAGTTCCAGATCATTGGTTACATCATAGGGTAATTCGCCTCTCTGAGTAACAGGAAGAACAAAGAAAAAATCATGATAATAACACACGAGCTGAATATCCAAAAAAATAAGCTCGGATGCATTCAAGTTTATATATAATAAAATAATGGTGTTGTATTAATTATTTAAAGTCAATCAGAAAATCCTGTTTGAGGTAGAATGGTAGAATAATAATTCAGGCATCTATAGTTGATCTGAATAATGTTAAAAAAGAGAGTATCTAATTGCATTATAGTATGCCAAAATAATAGATACACATAAGTCTAAACCACTCCTAGAGCAAAATTGCCTTATTGTGTATTCCACTTGTCCCTAGGAAACGCGCCTTGAAATGATGGAGATGAAGGATTGACTATTTAAATTTTTTAAACATTAAATGGGATGTCAGTCTAGTTAAAGTCAATTAGAATCATAACGCCCACCAAACATTAGAACACAAGGTAGTTTCTAGAAATCTGTTCGGCTTATGTGACAAGACAAGTAAGGGATGTCCAGAAATATAATAACCAGGATGGCGCGAAGGTTCAACACGAATTACTATAGCCTAACAAATTCAAGACAAATCACTCTCAAAATGCCCTTCCAAAGGATGCGCTCAAATTTATCGACAGAAATTCTTAAAATGAAATTTTTAAAAATTTGGTAGTGATAAGAAGATTTCTTACGGATTATT